TTTCTGACATTATTTATTAATTTCTTCATCAGTCTCTGGATGGCAGTCAGAGCTCAAGGTTAGAATAAATTCAGGTTAAAGGTGTGTGTTCAAGCACATGTCTGAGTCCTCAGAGATGCTACAGTTAGTCAGAGGGCTCAAGGGTGACGGCTGATTGTTCACTATGACTCCTTCCCTGAGCCTTTCACCTAAGGTTTGGGCAGGAACTATTGCCTGGCTCCATTACTCCAGAAGGCTTCCCACATACATGGTTTCTTCCGCATCTGTGAGCTACAGGTTCAAAAATCTTCCCCTCGGCAACTCTTTCACTTGAAAATACAGGAGAACATGGGGGATGCTTGATCCTCTCCATTTATTTTATAGACAGTTAACTATTGCTTAAGCAGTCTAAAAGTAGGCAGCCTGTGGTGACTTTTCATAATGAATACTGAGGATTGAACCAATGGTCTCCCATACGTTAGGGAAGCACTCTACCATTAAGCTACATCTCTTGTAATTATATTTTTATTTTTAAATGTATTTACTTGTTAGTGCTTGTGTGTATGAGTGCACAGATCCTGCAGTATGTATGTATGGTGGGCAAAGGACAATTTGTAGGAGCTGGTACTCTCCTTCCACCATGTCCTAGGGATTGAGCCCATGTCTTCAGACTTGGTGACAGGCACCTTTCACCTGCTGAGCCATCACCCCAGGTCTATTTTAAAACAAAACTTTATTGAAGTATAATCTACATCCAATAGAATCCATCCATTTTCAAGAGGTTGATAAATAAATGCATCCATGTAGACACAACCATAAGCAAAACACAGAAAGTTTCCTGTGCCCCTCCCCCAAACTCTTGCCCTTTACAGTGAGGCCACATGTGCCATCTCCACCCAAAAGAGCTACTGAAATATTTTAACCACTTGAAACTTCATTTGCTGGCACTGGCACCATTGACATCACAAAGCATGAACTCTTTTGAATGGGCATCATTCTCTTAGCATAATGCTGTGGAGATTAGTCTACATTGTTGCATATATCCGTAGTTCCATTGCTTTCCTTGAAGAGTAATTTTGATGTATAAATTCACTATGCCTTTTTTCATTACTCAGGTGCAAGCATTTAGACACTTCATTTTTGTATCAATAGTGTGGGATCAACCAAAGGTTCTACAGATACACAGCTTGAATGCACTCTGTCTCTGTCTCTGTTTCTATATCTTTGCCTCTGTCTCTCTGTCTCTGTCTCTGTCTCTCTTTCTCTCTCTCTCTCCCCCCCAGCACATGCCTGTGCGTGTGTGTGTGTGTGTGTGTGTGTGTGTGCGCGTGTGTGTATGTGTGTGTGTGTGTGTGTGCGTGCGTGTGTGTGTTTAGTTCTGCTCTGATACTCTGTCAGTCCTAGCCACCACCACAGCCTACCGAGCCTCCATTCTCTCCAGCTCAGAGCCACCTGGGCTCTATTTTGCCTGTTTTCTTGTGTTATTTCTTACAGGAATCATACTGGCATCACCTATGCCCCAACATCTGAAAACAGTTGTTTCATACATTTGCTTGGCTCTCTAGTTGTTGGAGGCAGCAATCCTTCCTGTACAGAAGCTCCCGGAATCTTCTTTAGAATCAACTTTACTAAGATATAATTTATATATTTTAAGATCCAGAGTTTAGTTTATATAATTTATGTACATTAATGTGCCAGAGTTTAGGCATATAGGTTTTTGGCCTTGACAAATGTATGCAACAAACGCATAATCACCACCTCTTTTTCCCCTGAATCTCCCTCTTTACTTTTTGCTGTCTGTCTTCATCTATATCTCTCCACTCAGAAGCCACTGAGCTGATCTCTGTTGCTATGGGTTAATTGTGCCTCTTACAATATTTTCAAATATGTCACTCTTCATCCGGGAAGCCACTGAGATGATCTCTGCTGCTACGGATTAATAGTGCCTGCTATAATATTTCAAATATTTGGAGGCAGTTTCCCTTTTGTATGTAGCTCCTTTCATCAGCCCGGAGTCTGTGGAATCGGTTTACGGGTTCATGTATCACATCTTCTTTATTAGTAAGCAGCATCCTGTGGTGGGAATGAATCACAGTTTTCTTCTCAGGTCACTGATTCATTCACTGGCCTTTCAGTTTGTCTCCATTTGAGGACTGCTATGAAAAGGCTGCCTTGAGCATGCTTGTACAAGTCTGTTGGTGCACTTAACCTTTCTTCTGGTTAAATCTCTAGAAACAGAATTCCTAAAGGTTATGTATGTGTTGAAATTTACAAGAAACTGCCATGCTGGTTTCCTAAATTATTATACAGTTTATATCTAAAGTTTCAGTTGACCTATATTCTCACCAACACCTTTGTTTGCAAATCAATCTGTTTAGTTTGTGTTAGGCTAGTGGATGGGATGGGGTATGTCATCTCATAAATCCTATTTCATGGGATTTTTATGAAATTCTCAATAACTAATTATATTGAGCATTTCTTATTTGCATAGTCCTTTTGCTTGTATGTCCTTGCCCTTTGTCCATTTTTGAACAGGGAGGTTGATGTCCTCATGTGCTGTCTGGTTGTTGTGCACACAGGTTTTTCTAAGATACATGGGCCATCGGAGCATTCAGAGCTCCGGCATACCTTTTCTCCTCTCTGGCAGTGTGCTTTGAAGGAAGGTAGATCGAGTATCTCTTGATACAGTTATTAACTATTCTCTTTTGCCTGTTTTTTTCTACTTCCAATTCTTTGCCTCTGTTTACAAAGACATTTTATTTTGCAATTTTAGCCTTTAAATTGAGACATAAAATCCCTCTTGTTCACTTTTCCCTGTGGTGTAGCTCAAGGACTGGGTTGAATTCTTCAGCATGGGTACCAATTCCTCCAGCACACTCAGTGGGGAACACATCCTTCCCATCAGTGAATTGTGCTGATGTTTTTGTTGAAAGCAAACTACTAAATGTGCAGGTCTTTTCTAAAATCTCTTTTCTGCTTTGTGGTCTTGAGTGTATATTTTTATACTGGCATAGCACAATCTTGCTGTAGCTTTAGAGTGGATCTGGAAATCACACAATGTTAGTCGTCTTTGTCCTTCCATTTTAAAATCACTTTGGCCATCATCAGTCCTTTGCATTGCCATTGGATTTTACAGTTAGCTTTTCAATATTTACCACAAAAAAATGCCTGCTAAGATCTTGATGGTGACTGAAGATTATCATGAAAAGAGCAGACAGCCTAAAATTCTCAAAATGATATTGCTTCCCATGTTTTGTAACCATTTTCTGACTAGTTCCCTTCCTGTGAGTGGTAGCCAGGGCATGATCCTGGATTGGTAATTTCATATCTGCAGTCGCCATCTTCTTTGGTTCTTTTTTTCTTCTCCCCTGATGATACTGGGCAGAGTCTCCATGTTTCCAGCCACTTGTGAATAAGAAGCCTTAGCTCACTTTAAAGCTACAATCTTTCATGCAGGTCAGACCTTTCAAACAGCCTGTGCTCCAAGGGTATGGAGGAAGAGGAGAGAGGGTGATGTCTTGCCATTCTCCTCCTCCCATTGTTTGAGTAGAGTGGGGAACATCGTGCATGGGTTTGTATGTGTGTGTGCATGCGCATGTGTATATGTGTGCATGTGTGTGTGTTTGTGTGTACATGCATACATATTCATGTGCACATATGCAGAGATCAGAGATAGGCATTAAATCCCTTCCTCAGCAACCTTTTGCTTTATTTTTCTCTCACAGAACCTTGAATTCATTCATTCAGTGAGGCTAGCTGGCCAGTGAACTCCATGGATCTCTCTGACCCCTCCCTTTCTAGTGGTGGAGTTACAGGCATACACCATACCCAATCTTTTTACACAGGTCCAGACTGATGACCTCATGCTTGTGTGGCAAGCACTTGACTGAGCCATGTCCTCAGCCCGAGCATGCTCTTTTTTGTGCCTCCATTCCCTTGTGTTCCTGACCCTAGCCATCAGGTCTTGTTTCTAGCATTGCTGCTGCATCTGGTATGCGGGGCTTTACTCTTTCTCTGCCACTGTTCTATTCCTTGTGCTTATGGTCACCTCTGCTTTAAGATGTGTGACTTTCTGGAGGAAAGTCATCTTCACCCAGACGCCCTCAGGCTGGGTCATGCTTCCATATCCTCTCTGTTGAAACATTTCTCCCCCCACAGACAGCAATGCCACAGGCACAGCATGGTTTCTGCTCCCTTGTATGGAGTCAGTGTCTCCAAGGCACTCTCATCAGGACCAGAAGACCACGATGCACACCACACTAAGGGCCCTTGGTGTGAGTAGTTTTGAAAGCTTCTCTCCCCATCGGCACTTCCTCAAGATGGCACACAAATTTGCCACAATGTCATCAGCTCTGGGGGGCAACAAAAGTATGGAGTGACAGCTATTCTGTTGCTATGCACTTTACCAGTTTTCCCGATGGGCAAGTGGACTGCCAGTCTCCCCTGGGTGGCACCCCACTTTCTGTAGCAATTGTCTGGGAGCCTGCACGCTATTTGTCTAAATCCTGGAGATGAAGAACTCACAGCATGGGAAAGCTCTGAGAAGACATCATTCCCCACCTAGAGACTGAGAACGGGCCCTCCCTCTCTCGAATTCTCAGTAATCTCTTTATAATAGTTTGTTTGCCGGGTGGTGACTGTAGTAATAGGGGCTGCTTAGCTGCTTTTCATAAACTCTGAGGGGATTAGTGGGCCCCAGTGTTGACAGCTGTCTTTAGACTGTGAAATATTACTGCCTCATATTTTCAGATGGATCCCCAAAGAAACAGTAATAGTCCTGCCCAGTATCTTCCTCTATAACCAGTAGCTCAACTCACTCTGCTACAGGTATCCAAACACGAAGACAAAAGTTGTTTAAAAACAAATCACTTCATCTAATGCTATGTCCAATACTTGAAAATCTAAATAAACTTTGAAATGCACTAAAGCAGAATAGAAGCCTGGAAACACTTGGCATGGAGTGCAATAATGTAGAATAAGCAAATTAAAAGCCCGTTCTGAGCAAAAAGTGCAGTCACGAGTGGAGAGACCTGGTACTTTCTTTTGGTTTCCAAGAAGCAGGAGAGAGGGTGGGAGATGGGAAGAATGACGGTGGGGGAGGGGGTGGGAGAGGGGAGGGGAGAGGTGCAAGAGAAGAGAACTGTGACAAACAGTGAGGGACTCTTTGCTTTCATTCTTGGCTCCCATGGACACGAGGGGCACTGCAGGCTTCTCTGGGGAAAGCTGGAAGTTGGCAAGCTTCCTTCATTCTCCAAACACGTTTGGCCTCTTCAAGAGGGACTGGTACCCATGGCTCGAGGAGGCAGCATTCCTGACCCGAGAAGAAAGCAGAGAGGTCTCAAGTGTTGCCAGCGTTCCACCAGCAGCCCTCTCCCAAGGTCCCTCCTCCTCTTTGCAGGGCTCAGACATTTAACGAAGAAAAAAGAAGACTTAGCCTACCGCTAAGATTTTCGTGGTGAGAACCTGGGTTTGCAGGTGAGTGTTGCCTACCTTGTTCTTTGGTGATGTTTCAGTCTCTAGAGTCTGAATCAAGCTGACTTAAAATAGCCTCTTAAATGCAGCTGCTTCGTGTCTGACCACATTCCCTTCTTTAGAATTAGTCCTTCCACTGAAGCCTTGTTGGGAGCAACCCACTGCTACCCTCACACATTCTGTACTGTAGCCCTGAGGGGAGAGACTCAAAGGAGAGGAAAGGTGTGTCCCTTCCTGGGAGCGGTACAGGAGTTAAGGGTGTAGAAGTGTGGGTTTGGATGTTGTGACTTTATCTGCATTAGTAGTTTAATAAAATTAGTTTTCACGCTAATTGGTGACCAATCACCGGAGGCCAGCATCTTGGCCTTGCTCTTTTAGGTTGTAGTACCTGGAAGATACTTCCTTCACTGTTTCCAACCCATGAAGAGGATGGACAGAAGCGTGGTGAGGGGACCACTGTATAAGCAGTTCGACTTGGAGAGAAAGAATGCCCGGCAAGCAGAAGCTAGACTCACCCTGAGACTGCAAAGGCTGGAGGTCGTCTGCCTCTATCACGTGAAATCGCTGGCCAGGGAGCAGAGACAGCTTCAGAAAGAACTACAGCGGCTGCAGCAAGGTGAGGCGCTGTCCTAAGGGGCAATCTGTCCCCGCTTCCGGTCCTAAGGACACTGCCCTAGCTTCCTGTAGTAAGGAACAGTTTACACCAGAGCTTGGCAGTGGGAGTATAGCAGTCTGGATCTCACTGGGGGAAATGAGGTGTTTGTCTCACGCCAGGGATAACCAGCAGAACAAGTGCCTCTGGACTTAAGCAGGCCTAACCCACCTGTCCTGCAAACTCCACAGCTCCTCCTGCTTCCTGGTCCTCGATCTCCTTGAGCTGACTTTCTCCAGGCTTCTTCAAGGCCTTGTTTCCAATTTGCTCTCCCCCCTCCCCCGCCCTTACTCCCCCCACTCCTGGCCTTTTTGATTCTTCACACCTCCCTCTCTTCAATATCAGAGCTGATTTGGTTTGACTCCTTTATCGTCGCTGCCTTTCTCTTCGAGATCTAGCTGCCAATTATTGAACTGCTAAGGTATAAGTCACTTCCCTCGCCTGTTTTATGAAAGTAAGTTATAAAGAAAAGCTTTCTCTGGGATTTTGACCTCTGACGAGGAATACGAGTGACAATGCGCATCTTGTTAAAACTATCCGAACTTCCAGTGAGACTTTGGCACAAACCTAAGCACAAAGCCTTTCTTAGATTTGACAGCTTTAATGTACTCAGGTCAGCTAGCAAGGTTCTTCCAGACTGAACCCTCTCCTGCTGTCTTGTTGGAAACGGGTTCAGCTGTGTGGTTTGTGGAAACCAGTCCTCCTCATGTTGCTTGTTGTTGCTTTCGTTAAATAATTAGGTTTCAACATTCCTTCAGAATGATATGGAGTCGGTAAACTCAGCCTCTCAGGACATCCCTCCTGACTTGAACCAGGTGCCGGAAGTCAGGAGCGTGTTCTGGGTGGGATGTGACCCGTTCAGGAGGAAAGTCAGAAATGACATGCTTTAAGTCAGAACCTCCTAGGCCTGCACAGTTTCTACCCCAGACACACAAAGCAAAAGCAGCGTCAAAACACTGGCAATCTTTCTAATTTTCAACTTTTTTCTAATTATGAAATGGTCTGAACTAAACTCTGTTTTGAACTCCCCTGTGTACAGTGAGCGGTTAAGCCAACTGAGTAAGAACGACACTGGAAAGGCATCTTAGAAACCAGCTGGTTGGTTCTCACGTTGATTCTCAGAAAGGAAAGCTGAGAGCAGGCGTTCATGCTGGGGGCAGGGAGGTATACATAAAGGCAGGCCCAGAACTGTGGTGGCCCATGCTGCATGGGAGCTCATCTCAGTCACAGGTGTGTGCAAAGGGCCAGGACCAAGAGACAGACAACTTCAGAGGTCAAGGTCTCCAGGTTCTGCATCTCACACTGAACAGCCAAGTCACGGGAAGGAGAAGGAATGATCATATTTCTTCTTGGTGTTCTCTAGATGCTGTATATAGCAACAGTTTCCAGTAATTTATTAATGGAACTATTACCACTGAGATGCAACTATTGGCCCGTTAGTGGATTGCTTCCCATGCATATTGTCGGCCCTCATCTTAGAGAGTAGGATCAGTACAAAGAAATTAGGCTCGAAATTCAGTGTTCTTTTCACTGAAGCTAAGATGGGTTATTACAGGTCCCGTGCTTTTGTTTGACTGATTGGATGGTAGTTTGGCTGGTTGCTTGGCTGGTTTGGTTTTTTGGGGGTGTTGATGCTGTTGTCATTGCTTTTTGTTTTGAGATAGAATCTCTCTACATAACCCAGGTTGGCCTAAATCTCAGAATCTTCCTGCTCCAATCAGTGTTACCCTCCTGCCTATGGGTCAGGCTACTCAGGGGCTGGGATGGACATTTGGACAAATACGGTCTCTTCACTTTGAGATACTTGTGTACACTATCAAATAGCTGAGCTTTTATAAGGCTGGTTACAAGGAAAAAAACTGTGCTTTATAAGCCCCATGAAATTTTTAAATGCTAAAAATGGGGTCATTCACAAAGTAGGAAGCGGGCACCAGAAGCCTCCTGCACCTGTTGCAAGGCTCTTATGAGAATTTCCCCAAGAGATGGTGTGTGAGCAGAACCTAGAAGAAGAGTGAAGTGATGTGGGAAAAGAGGGATTGCCGGGAGATGTGTAGCAGGAGATCATTCCTGGAAGAAAGAAAGAGTGTGTACAGAGGGATAGCAATGGGTGTGGTTTGCCAGAAATAGTTCCGTGCTGCTGAAGTGTGTGTGAACTTGCAGAACTTGCCCTAACCAGGCTTTGTCTCCAGACACAGCTTCACAAGGGTAGATCCTACCCTGCAGGGTCTGGGTGCAGGGAGATTCCATATTCACATTTTAGAGCGATCCCTCTGACTATAGTGCTTCTGAGAAAACAGCTTAGGACATAGCCAGAGTAGAGCTGATAGAATTCCAAATGCAGGCCTTGATGTAAAAACCTAAACTAGAGCACTGCCAGGAGGAAAAAATGGGGAGGCCAGCTTTTCAAGACATTTGGAAAGAAGAATCTTCAGGTTTCCATGACTAATTATACATCAAAATAGCCCCAAGAAGATAATAAAGAAAAAGACTCAAAGGAGTGATCAGATGAGTCTCATGTGATATCCATGCCCCTTGCGTGGTCCTCTACCCTTGTTCCCACTGCCTCGTACATTCTAATGCAATAGGGTGCTTTGGGAGGAGGGGGGTGTCCTGGGTCTCTTTGCTGGTGGTTAGGTGTATGTTTCGTTGTTATTCTTGGTTAGGATTGTTGGTCTGGATTTAGTGGAATGGGAATCAGTTGGCCCTAGAGATTGAAGTCAGGGCCTTGTGCATGCATAGTGAGCCATCTACCACTAAACAACACCCCTAGCCTTAGCTACGTAACTTTAAGTGAGTCCCATCAAAGCACAAAACAATGCAAAACTTTCCATCCCAAACGACTCAGTCTCAAATGCCTTGAAAACGAATAGAGCCAGTGTGCTCTCTTCAGGCTATGACTACGAGAGACCAGAACATTAACTGGGAAAGTGGAAAGACCACCTACTCATGGTCTCTGGCCATTGCAAACCCTTGCCATGGGTAGAAGGAAGGCATACAACTGTAGTAAACAGACAAAATGTTCCCACCCAGCTGTTTTTTTTAAACACTCGTGCTTGCCAAGTACAACATTCAAACAAAGCCCACTAGGGCTGGGGCAGTTGCAACATCTGATCTTGGTGTCTAAATCCTCTCTGACATGTTCTAGGCAAACAGCAGCAACTACAGGAAGCTTTGTTGTTTTCATACATTGCATCAGAGGAGGGCAACTTGTGGTGGGGACCCAGGATCTTCATGACTCTCTGAAAGCCCAGCCTTCACTCTCCTCCCCTGTTGTACTCATTTTCTAGGCTGCACAGAAAAGTACCAAAACCCACACAGCTGGGCCATAGACCTTCGCTGTCTCACCTCTGAAGGCTCAAGGTCAAAGTGGGAGTGTGAGCAGGGTTTCCTCGGGTGTGAGGCAGGAGTAGGCTTTCTCTTCAGTGTGTAGGCCGCAGGTCCCTTCACCCTGCCCTCTTTGCCTGTCCGGTCCAACTGCATCACAATGGTCAGGACCCACCATAAACGGCCTCATCTTAATTGAATCATATCTATAAAGTGCCTGTCTCCAAATAATGTCACAATCTCAAGAACTAAGGGCTAGAACCCCAACAAATGAAATTTTACACAATTCAGTCCACATTAACTCATTTTAAGCTTTATTTTATTTGTGTGCACATGTGTGTCTGTGTGCATGTCTAAGTGAATATGTGTGTATTGTGAATGCAAGTGCTGACAGAGACCAGAAGAGAGTGTCAGATCTCTTGGAGCTGAAGGGAAAGGTGTTTGTGAGCCATGGATGTGGCTGCGGGGATCCGAACTCTTGGTCCTCGTGGCTGAGCATTGAGCACTCTTAACAGATGGGCCATCCTTCTTATGGCTGAGCATCCGGCAGTCTTAACAGATGAGACATCCTTCTACCCCATGGTTTGTTAATTATCCCATAGCAGATATCATCAAGAAAAGGTTCTCCTCTCATGGGGAGAGTGGAATTCAGAAGAGACCAGGAGATGGTGTCACGTTCTCACCACAAACAGGACAGAGGCACATGGTCCCGGAAACTAAAATTAGGTAAGAAAATGATTAAGTGTTTGGATTTATGCTGAATCCCACTTCCCAAGCTTTAAAACATTCCTCTCCATCTGAGGAGAGGCTGCCTTCTCCATGGTGATGTATTAGCTATGATTTAATAAAGATTGTCTGAAGTATCAGAATGCAAGGCCAGCCACACTAGTTAGCTATAGAAGCTAGGCGGTGGTGGTATACACCTGTCAAGGCCACACTGAGCTACATGAAATTGATCCAGCCTGAAAGAGAAACAGCTCACACAATCTCAGCACTTGGTATCCGATGCCTTTAACCCCAGAATTTGAGAGGTGTAAAAGGAAGAAGCAAAGGATCTCATGAGGGAAGTAGTCTCCAGGCACACAGCAGACAGGACACCTCTTTCAGCCGGAGGCAGACATAAGAGCTTTGCTTCTCTGATCTTCATCTTGAAGCCTGAACCCCAGTATCTGTCTCTGGGTTTATTTTTTTTCCTGTTACATCCTTCCTAGAGAGATACACCTCTGCTCCTCACCCTCCGCCTTTCTCGCCCATGTAACCACCTCAGTTGAAGACACACACGCACGCACACACACACGCGCACGCACACACACATGCACACACACACACGCGCACACACACACACACACACACACACACACACACACACACACGTCGTCTAATGAATGGAAAGGCCTACCTGGGAGCCCCTTCATTTTTCAAAGACATTTATTTCTTCCTTTTCACCTCCCCTACTCCAGGGTACTGGCAACCAACATGGCGCAAGAAGTTAAAACTAACGTTCAGGGGCCCTCTTTTCATGACACTGCCCCCAAAGACGCCCTAAGAAGTCAAGAGCACCTGCACTGTCAACGTGACAGAGCCAGCTGCCACAAGGAAGAGAAGTTACAAACCTGGGAGGGAGAGTCTGCCAAGCCACTTGAGGGCACGGATGTCTCTGTCTCATGTCATGGCCAAGAGGTCTCCACCAACAGCCCTGTGTCCCGCCCAGATGGTGACAGGGGGTCAGCATCTGCAGATGTGACCAGATCAAAAAATGCTAGTCAAAAGACACATGGGGATGCTGGGGACCAAAATGCCCTGAGCTCTGGGGATTGTGCAGGCAGCTCCAAAGGCAGTTGCACAAAGCCAACCTTCCTAGAGTTGTTTGCAAAGGCCAAAAATGCCCACTATCTCCGCCACAGGGTGCCCCCTGAGTCTGAGAGATTGCTTAGCATCGGGGAGATATTTGGACATAGAGACTCCTCACTACTCAGAGAAGGGAAAACACTGTCCAAATAGCACCAGGTTCCTTCCTCCATGGCTGTGTAATGTAGCCTGGCATGACAACTATGGAAATGCAACCCTCAAATAGCGGTAGTAAGCAATGCACAGAAATAAACAGAAATCCATGACAACTTTCTTTTGCATCCTTAGGGCCTCCTGCCCTTTTATATGATCTTTCTCATAATAAACTTTCTTGTAATAAAAGCTACTATGAAAGGGAAGAGAGGGAAAATAATGTAAAAAATAGTTTAGATTGAGAACCTGGACTTATTTTAATGGAGACAGTCTTGTTTGTCCAAAGGTTCTTCTCATAGTAGAGGTGCGTACAGCGCCACCTGCTGGTCAGATAGCATAGCTAGTCGCCTTGATTCTTTTGGGGTTTGCATGGTAACCCAACTGAAACTATCAATAGGGACATAGTCTCCAAATAAAACCTGCTCTTGCCTCAGTTCCATACTCTTTTTTTAAAACTCCTTCTTCCCTTTTTTCTCTTTCCTTCTTTATCTCTAACTCCCTCCCTTTCTCTCTCCTTCCCTTCCTCTCCCTCCTTTCCTTACTTTCTTTCTGCCTTTTCTAGTAGTTGCAGCTGGATTTCTCTTTCCCCATTTTAACCTCAATACCAAACGTTTTGGGATCCCAATGAGAGAAACGAATCTGTGTCCTTTCCTCTCCTCCCTAATCATAATATCTTAAAACTTCCAGCACACAATCGGCGTTATACCAGGTGCAGTCAATAACCAACCGTCTCGCAGTGAAAGGATAATTTCCATTTAAAAATTATTGTTTTACGCTAGTGTGGTGCCGCAACTTTATAACCCCAGTACACCAGTATTTGGGAAGTTGAGGCAGGAGGATTGACAAAGACCAGTGTGAGCCACAATGCAAGGCTCTGTCAAGAAAAACTCTCTTAGACAAAACAAAAACCACTGTTTTAAGTAAGTAGATCTGCATAATGTTTGGACCACTGTAAATTGAGTAAACTTTGTTTCCCACCCAGATGATCAAAATTTCACATTTAAAACATTTAATACATCATCATCAAACAACAGCTCACTGTTAACATGCTTTAATCCTATTGCTCACTGAACTCATACCAAAAAATTGTCACTTTTGTCATCTAATCATCATTTACAATGACTTCATCAGAAAACTAGCTTGTAGTTAGAAATACAAGATCAAGTAGCAACTGTTAAATTCAATATTTCAACCTTATAGCAAATTTGGACACCAAAAAATTAAATTCAAGTCCTATATATTTATCTTTGGACTTTTTTATTTACTTTGAATTAAAAATTTTTGAGACAGAGGTTAAATTGTGCTGTCCTGGGCTGGCCCTGAACTCCAAGGTTCAGTGACCCTCCTCCCTCAACCTTCTGAGGAGCTGGGATTGCAGGCTCTTACCGCCAGAACCTATTTACAATTAGGCAAACATATTAGTTGTAGTCTAGCTTGAGGCTATCTTGAAGAAATAAAACTATTTATATCAAAGATGATAAAGGACCCAATCTTCTAATACTAAAGCTCCTAGGGATTAAATTAATTTGAGTTTAATGACAAAGTATGAATTAATTGCATTTACTTTAATAACACAATTTAATTCCCATTTGAGATGCCTGGTGTTTAAATTCATAACTCATAATAGCTCCCATTTTCCAGCATCTCCCGCTGTCCCAAACTTTCCACACAGCATACCAATTCAAATTGCTCCTCAGAACTCCACAAAGAGTTTACTTTTAGTCCTTGTCTTACAGATGAACAGAGCAGAGTGTGCCCTTGGTCTTCACACTGTCCTCTGTCACACTCTCTCCATCTACCTCACTACCATCTAGCTGAAGACAAAAGCTTGGCTCAGTCTTGCAAAATTCAGTTGTTTTAACCCAGCCTTTGGTTGTCAATGACAAAGCAATAGTTTATAGTAGAAGAAACATGAGAAATTTCCTTTCAGTGTGTTCTCTAGTGGAGAAGGCAGGTCATGGACAAAACTGTATGGCTCACAAATTATTTACACTGGATATGAAGGTAGATACTTCCAGAATAGAGGGCCCCCTTTATGAAAAGCCCAAGTATAAGGGAGAGATGTTGTGTCTCCACTCCCTAATGGAAAAAGCCTTCCCCTTCACTGTATTACCCAATTGCCTTCTATGTGGGGTGCATGTATTATTACCCAAATGCCTTCTATGAGGATGTCAACTCCTTTCTGCTTGAAGGCAGAGGCATCTGGACACTTGGAGGTGATGACTGGGCTTCTCTGCTCCACCTGCTCTAAGCTGTAACAGGTGCTCCATCAGTTCTTTAAGAAAGACTTAAAGCTGATCAAGAACCACAAACAGTGGCACCTAAGGAGACTATGCTCAGTGGATAGGGAGCTTACTGTGCAAGCATGAAGATCTGCCTGCAGATCCCTGTCATCCACATAAAATGCAGGTGTGACTGAACACACCTGGAATCCCAGCACTGGGGAGAGGTGGGGCAGAGACACCTAGATCCCAGGGGCTCGCTGCTCATCTGGTCTGCCAGAAATGGCAAGGTTCAGTGAGAGACCCTGTCTTGAAAAATAGAGAATCGGTCAAGGAAGGCGCTGGACATCCACTTCTGGCTTCCATCCTCTCCGGCCTGAGTAAGCACATCTGCACACAGGTGAATGAATATACACAAAAATAGAAGGTTTAAAGCAAAAATGCCAGGAAGTATCAGGACAATAGTAAGTGAAACTGATGACAGCTACTGTCGGAGAAAAGTGGGAGTTATTCTGCTTCCACCTCACCAAGCTGGGACTGTCCAGTGTCAAGGTGGAGAGGCAGATGCTGAGTTCCACTTACTGCCAAGGTTATAGGAGTTATCAGCAGTTCAGGGTTGAGGCCAGCTGTGCCTATGTGAGATTCTATCCCAAGAAAGTTCCTTGCCCAATATTACAAAAAAATATTTATTACACAGTCCTCATCTCACTTGTAGCTTCGAGTACGGATCACTTGAGATGCCTAGGAAACAGTCCTACCTGACGGGGCATTACACGAAACACACCCTAAACTTCCCCCACCTTCCTACTGCTACTGTGAACATGTTTCTGCTAAGTGTCCTGGAGCCATCAATGGATTAGAGTGTAAATCAGCTTTAATAGAATTAGTCATGTGTTTTTTGAATGACTTGAGTTTAATTCTGTAAAAATTGTTGCATGGAATTGAGCAACAAGGAGATCTAACCAAACTCTAAATAACACATATCCATTTGACCCATCCTGACATGATCACTGTCATTGTTGTGGTCACTGAAGAGAAAAATTCTCTATTCAAAATTTAATCTGTAATAAACAAAAAGTGTGTGCAAGCTATGTAGGCTACTTCACCGGGAAACTTAATGTATATTCTTGCCGAGGACTCTTTGCCTCCTTGCTGGGAGGAGACAAAGGATGTTAACTAAGATGGCCACACTGACTCCTACTGCTGGTGAGGGGAAGACAGCAACCAAGTGCATTCCTGCTGACCTTCAACTATTTCCTTCTTAGCTTCCTCTTGACCTCTAGAAAATAGGAAGCTATGATGAGAATCCCCGGTGTGTCTGGTGATGGTTCTGTAACTTTTAAACTTAGTTGTACATGAGGCTGGTGACTGATCAGTGGTTAAGAACCCACGTAAGCCATGGGAGATCTTTCCATTTTCTGATGTCTTCTTTAATTTCTTTCTTTAAAGTTCTTGTTATACAGGTCTTTCACTTGTCTGGTTAGTGTTACCCCAAGGTATTTGTTTGTGGCTATTGTAAAAGGTGATATTTCTCTGATTTCTTTGTCAGCCCATTTATCATCTGTATGTAGTAGCACTACTGATTTTTTTTAGTTGATCTTGTATCCTGCCTCTTTGCTGAAGGTGTTTTATCAGCTGTAGGACTTCCCTGGTAGAATTTTTTGGGTCACTTATGTAAACCATCATATCATCTGCAAATAGTGAAAGTTTGATTTCTTCCTTTCCAATTTGTATCCCCTTGATGTCTTTTTGTTGTCTTATTGCTCTAGCTAGAACTCCACGTACAATATGGAGGAGGTATGGAGTGGACAGCCTTGTCTTGTTCCTGATTTTAGAGGAATCACGTTGAGTTTCTCTCCATTTAGTTTGATGTTGGCTATTGGTTTGCTGTATATTGTTTTTATTATGTTTAGGTATGTTTCTGTTATCCCTGATCTCTCCAAGACCTTTATCATGAAAGAATGTTGGATTTTGTCAAAGGCTTTTTCAGCCTCTAGTGAAATGATCATGAGATTTTTCTTTTTCAGTTTGTTTATATGGTAGATTACATTGATGGATTTTCATATATTGAAACATCCCTGCAACCCTGGGATGAAGCCTACTTGATTATGGTGGATGATTTTTCTGATGTGTTCTTGGATTCCATTTGCCAGTATTTTGTTGACTATTTTTGCACAATATTAATGAGGGATATTGATCCATAGTTCTCTTTCTTAGTTGTGTCTTTGTGTGGCTTGGGTAGCAAGTTTATTGAAACCTCATAAAAAGAGTTTGGCAATGACCCTCCTGATTCTATTGTGTGGAATACTTAGAAGAGAATTGGTATTGGCTTTTCTTTGAACTTCCGGTAGAATTATGCACTGAAACCATCTGGGCCTGGGCTTTTTTGGTTTGGGAAACTTTTGATGACTGCTTGTACTTCATTAGGGGTTATAGGTCAATTTAAATTGCTTATCTGTCCTTGATTTAATTTTGATAAGTGATATCTATTCAGAAAATTGTCCATTTCCTTTAAATTTTGCAATTTTGTGGAGTACAGGTTTTCAAAGTATGTCATGATGATTATCTGGATTTCCTCAGTGTCCATTGTTATGTCTTCCTTTTCATTTCTGATTTTGTTAATTTGCATGTTCTCTCTCTGCCTTTTGGTAAGTTTGGGTAAAAGTCTGTCTATCTTTTTTATTTTCTCGAAGAACCAACTCTGTTACATTGATTGTTTATATTGTTTTCCTAGTTTCTACGTTATTGACTTCAGTTCTCAATTTGATTATTTCCTCCATCTACTCCTCCAGGGTGAGTTTGCTTCTAGAGCTTTCAGTTGTGCTGTTAATTCTCTAGTGTGATTATTCTCCAATTTCTTCATGTGAACACTAAGTGCTATGAATGTTCCTCTTAGCACTGCTTTCAAAGTGTCTCATAAGTCTGAGTGTGATGTGTTTTCATTCTCATTGAATTCTAGGAAGCCTTTAGTTTCTTTTTTATTTCTTCAAATGACTCAGGAATGGTGCAACTGCGCATTGTTCAATTTCCATGGGTTTGTAGGTTTTCTCCAATTTGTGTTGTTGTTGAATTCTAACTTTAAAGCATGGTGGTCTGATATGATACAGGAGGTTATTCCAATTTTTTAGTCCCTGTTGAGGTTTGCTATGTTGCCAAGTATGTGGTCGATTTTAGAGAAGGTCCACGTGGTGCTGAGAAGGTACATTCTTTT